ATATAATATAATATGAAATATTTTAACAATTCAAACAAAGTTTGTTTTAGAAATGCAGAGTAGTTTTTGACATCTAACCAGACTTGGAATATCAAACATTTATTTTTAGACTGAAAATAGAAATCTTTTGTTGAAAACAGTAATTTGAAGTAATAAGTAGCTTTTTGAATAAATGTTTAAAGTTCTCACACTATTTGACTTTAAAATCACTTTAAAKCTCAACTTAAGCCCAGAATGAGTCAGCTTTTTTCTAATTTTAATTAATTTAGCCTTTAAACAAAAAGTTAATTTGGGTCTGAACAGATGCAGTTGTTGACAGATGAACATAAAATAAAACACTCAGTCTGAGTTGATGGTTTTATTGATTGTGAAAAGCAAGACAATCTAAAACAGGCAGCTTCAAAGCCTCCAGTGCTGTCAGCCCGACCACTAATCCCCGGACAAACATCGGCTCTACCTGGCCCCGGCTCGGGGTTTCATACGCAGAGCTTCATAAAAGGAGAAGTGGGCGGGGCTCCGCGCTGGACGGCCAAACGGCTGAACGCTGCCCGGCCGCTCAGAGGAAGCTGCTCAAGCCTTCCAATGAGACGAGGGCAGAGGCAGGCGCCGCGACGCCTCATCACTCAACATTTCATCAAAACGTTTCAAAATAATTAAATAGATTAAAAAACAAAACAAAAAAAAGCTAAGAACAAGGTGCGAATGAACCCTGAATTCATGATATCAAAGGTGTGTCAAAAGTTAATAGTAATTTTGGTCGGAAATTAAAGGCGAAAGTCGTCGGCGCGGCGTCGGACTACGACAGATTGGCGCTCAGGTCCGGGTTGGCGGAGCTGTTTTCCTGATTGGACGCCTGGCTTCCTCGCGGCGGCACCTCGATGATGCGAGGCTTGTCGATGATGCGGGCGCGGCGATCACCTTTCTCTACGATTCCGATGATCCATGCGCCGTTGGAGGCGTTGCCCGCCGCCGAGTTGTGACTCTTCATCTCAGAGCAAAACTTGGCCGCCTGCTCCCTGGGCAGACACACCAGCAGTCCACCTGCAGGGACACAAGGGTTAACGCTCAGTTAGTGCATCTTTACAGCTGTACACGACGAGAGCGGGCCGAAGACGTCTGCACGGCCCCGCCAGTCTCCTACCGGAGGTCTCGGCCGATCGGCCCTGCAGCAGGCTGAACAGGTTCCCTCCGGCTTTGCTGATGGCGCTCATCTTGGCGATGATCGGCAGGTTGTGGATGACGAAGGCCACCTCGTGTTTCTGCTGCGATGCCAGGTTGTTGGCGTGTCCCAGCAGACCGAAGCCTGTCACGTCCGTGGCGGCGTGAGCCTGATACTTGTGCATCAGGCGTGCCGCTGCAGGGAACAAAGAACCACAATGAGCCAGATTAGACCCCCCTTTTCTATCTTTTAAAGAGATCCCAGAGTAGACGTAACATTAGACTTAATTTGATAAACATTTACTTCAACAAAAACTATAAAAATACTGTAGGCTGATTAGTTTTTATACATTTTATAAAATATATTGTCACCTAGACAGCGCCATTACACCCCAAAGGGTAAATAATGACTTTTACTAGATGCTCCACTGCAAGGCTAACACTATATCACCACATACGTTATTAGCTCGGGTGGTAAAACTATATCAACATGTATTAGCTCAAACGCTAATGCTTTATTAGTAAAATGAGTTTTGGTTAAATCCATCTTAACTGGGAATGAAACAGTGCCACCTGCTGTCGCTGGTTGTACTTGCACTGTAAAACTGCTCCAAATGAGGTAACATGGCTGCGAATGTGTGAGGACAAAAATATAATATTGGAGTGATGTTAAAGTGTTTGAAAGCTAAACGTTAACTTATTATGTTGTGTATTATGCTTCTTGCTTTGTTTTTGCCATGTTTTGCAGTTAGTTACTGTTGGATTTTATAGTATTTGGCGCAATTTTATATTCATGTGTTCAGCTAAGCTAGCAGCTAACTGTGGTACTGTTTTCCAGGCAAAACAGAGCTCATGCTAATTGTCCACAAGATCTCTATCCACGACTGAATTACTGTGGTATTTTGTGCAGATAATAAACTGCTGTCACAACCAATCAGCGCTGAGTGGATCATTGAGTAGAAGAGAGATATGACCAGACACACAATGGTCACTCACACACACGTTTGTTTCTTGACCCCGTGGGGACCTTCCATTGACTTCCATTCATGTTTTTTAGACTTTATA